TGAGCTTCTATGAAGAGGCTTGTGATTCACATACGTCCCCACACAAGTAAACTTGTCCTTGGCTATAGGTCTGCCTTCTTTATCTTGATTGTGTAGACTAGACGATCTGCACTGTTACCGCTGTGCTTCTAAAATTTGGGGGGCTATGGTGGGGAGTGTGGAGGTAACAGCAATTTGACTGAATTTGGCTTACCACAAGCAGCTTCTCTTAAGTCTCAGTGCTCCACCAAGGAAAACAATCTAGCGATTCTCTACAGGTCGGTTTTACATGTATGTTTTAAGAAGCAGTTTTTCAGAGTTAAAACCTTTCCTAGGTGCAGTTACATATGACTCTGAATTCTAGGTTTAAATCATCACTAGGGGGCGGAAGATTCGGATATGGCTTAAGAAGGGTAATTTCACAATTTTTTTGAGGTGTTGTACATGTGCAGGGAAAGGCTTTCTGACTTGTAGCTTTTCCAAGCAGTCCCTTCCACCACAGATGAGAGTGATAGTGTGGTAGGGAGGACTTTCTCCTGGGCAGTGGGTGAAAATAGATACAGAGTGCTCTAAGGAAGCCTTGCTTTAGGGGACCAACAACACTTATTATCTCATATGAGAAAGTTGGCTCCTCTGAAGAAGGCATTGAATGGGCATGCTATACAAAGTTTACATTGTATTAATTTCTTTGAGTTCAAGGGCCGAACTAGTGTGGGGATAAAGGATAAAAATCAAAACAATGTGAATATGACAATGTATGATTGTTAATTATGTGGCACAGTCTAAGTGCTGTAGGACTTTAGGAAAGGGAGTCGGTGTGGACAGAAGTTGTTAAAGAAAGCTTCATGGTTAAGGCTTGAAAGATAGGTAGGGGTTGGATACACTGAGTGAATATACTTTTGGAAGTCAAAGGTACGGTTTTGCTTGCATTTTACAAAGCAGCAGAGCTTTGCCGTTCTGATGCTGAATAAATGCTTTGGTGACCTTGCGTAGGGATTCAAGAGACCATGGTTCTGCTAGTCCTGGTCTTCCACCCAAAGGACTTGAAAACTATGGAATCTTCAGTTTCATTTGTAAAATGAAGTCCCTTGTAGCTCTAATAGTCTTTATTGAATGGCTAAAATGCAGCTTACAGGGGGAATGCTACCCTCTAGTGGAGAACCTATGGTACATAACATTGTCAAGCAGGCTTTGCTTTTATCAAGCTGTTGGCAAAATACATGTCATCCTTCCAGCCTGAGAAGAGAGAAATAGACTGGAATAACGGCCTGCTGTCCTGAAACATTTATAATTTCCCTTATTTTTTTAAGATTTTGTTTATTTATTTGACAGAGACACAGCGAGAGAGAGAGAACACAAGAAGGGGGAGTGGGAGAGGGAGAGGGAGAAGCAGGCTTCCTGCGGAGCAGGCAGCCCGATGCGGGGCTCAGTCCCAGGACCCTGGGATCATGACCTGAGCCGAAGGCAGACGCCTGACGACTGAACCACCCAGGCACCCCTAATTTCACATTCTTACAGACATTGTGAACACTAAATCAGACGTTCAGAAGAGCAGAACAGCAGTCAGTGGGGATTTTGATACAGTTGTTCTTGTCATCTTTTTGTACTGACTATGATAAAAGTCTTGGTGATAAACTCATTGAATACTTAGTCCTGGGCAAGCGAAGAGGGTCTTCCTGAGAATAGTGATGATAATTTCCTTAAAATTTTTACTCTGTTAGTCTGTAAAAAATAGAGTAATAGCAGTATGAAACCAGGGAAGTTTGACTAATAAACTGGACAACTTACCCAGATCCTTGTGGCCTAATATAGCTTGATCATTTCACCTTTGATCCAGAAAAAAAAAGTGTAGTTTACTAGTTTCCTTCATCAACGTTTTAGTACCTTCAGAATAAAATATAAACTCAGACTTGGATTCCAATCTCCGATCCACCAAGCTCAGAACTTGGGCAAGGGTTATTTAACACTTTGAATCTTAATTTCCTGATCTGAAAAATTTAGGGATAATAATATTCACCTTATATAGGGTTATGAGAAGTAAGATTATAAGGTATAAAATACATACACATTATGGATATATACTGATAGGTCTAATTCATTATACTGCCTTCTTCATCCTCTTCCTCAGTTGAACTCCTCCCTAATTTTTGAGCCTTATATTTGCTATTACCAACAACCCTCCCCCAAGCATGTATAAGGCCATCCTCAATACTAAATTTCTTTGGTTTTTCAGGTTTTAGGGCTTTTCAGGTTTTAGGCATTTGGCCTGTTGTCATTTAACAAAAAAGATGGGGAGGGTTAGAAGTAGTCTTCAAAGTAATTTTTTAAAAGAATATTTTCAGGGGCACCTGGGTAGCTCAGTTGGTTAAGCTTCTGCCTTCGGCTCAGGTCATGATCCCAGGGTTCTGGGATCGAGTCCCCGAGTAAGGCTCCCTGCTCAGCGGGACGCCAACTTCTCCCTCTCCCTCTCCCTCTGTGGCTCACCCTGCTTGTGCTTGCTCTCTCTTTCTCTTTCTCTCAGTCAAATAAAATCTTAAAAACTATATATTTTTTCAGCTGGCAGGGGCATGGCCATAGTTTCACTTCCAGGTTTTTTTGCAAGTTTCTATTTAGAGAGCCTTAAATCATTTATCACTAAAGAAGTTTCATGCCATTGTTTTTATACTATCTCATTCAGGAAGCTTCAGAGATGAAAGTGTAAACCAGGAGGGAAAATGTTAAACAGACTAAAGTTGAGCTTATTATATATGTCTTGTATTGATATCTTTTCCCTGGGGAATTTCTTTGCTCTGTGGCTCTATACGAAATCAACCAACAGGTATATAGTCTAGAGTAATGGCAAAATCTGGCATTTGAGCATTAAGCTAGGAGAGTTAGCTAAATGCATTAACTAACCATTAGTTAAATGTTATAGTCAATTAGCTTCATTCTGTTTGTAGCTGTTAGTCATGCCATTAACTCTAGCCAACATTTTACAAATGTAAGAAAATATACATCCAGTGAAAGAAAACTTAGGTGGATCATTGCAAATTCATAAGGTACATTTTATGTACCTTATTTAAATATAAACTTACTTTTTATATCCCCATCCTAACAGCAATTTCTAGTTTTATTTTAAGTAACTTTTATTTTTTTATTTATTTTTTTAAGACTTTATTTATTCATTTGAGAGAGAGAGAGGCAGAGAGAGCACAAGCAGGGGGAGAGGTAGAGGGAGAGGGACAAGCAGGCTCCCTGCTGAGCTGGGAGCCTGACGTGGGGCTCGATCCCAGGATCTGGAGATCACGACCTGAGCCGAAGGCAGATGCTTAACCATCTGAGCCACCCAGGCACCCCAAATAACTTTTATTTTAAATAATTTCACATGTTCAGTGAGGAATATAGATGAGCAAAGAGAACATAAGAACACTCTTAAACTCTTCCTGTTCATCCCACGTTAACTGCTGTTAACATTAGCTGAAAAAGAACAAAGAAGGTGAATTGGACAAAAGAGAAGAAGAAGGGCGTTCTATAGAGAACATACAATAAATAGAGAGTAAAGAGGTAGTTATTGAAAAAGAATTTTTTTTAAAGATTTTATTTATTTGAGATAGCATGAGCAGGGGGGCAGAGGGAAAGGGAGAAGTAGGATCCCCACTGAGCAGGGAGCCCAATGCGGGGCTCGATCCTAGGACCCCAGGATCATGACCTGAGCCGAAGGCAGATGTGTAACCGACTGAGCCACCAGGCGCTCCTTAGAAAAAGAATTTTTGATGAATTCTTAAGGAAAGATTTAAGAGCAACTGGTATATGAGTTTTAAGATCTAGAAAACTCTGGTGGTATATTCTCATTTTAAAAGTAAATCATAATATAAGATTGATAGGAAAAAACCAAAAATAGGCTAATGAAATCTTTGCTTTTGTCATATCTGCCTTTAGTTACTAGACACTCTTGGAGGTTTCACAGTGGTCTGGGTTGAGAAAGGAAAACAGTTCATTTCTTTCTCACATCCTTCATTCCTTAGCATACAAGGAAGTCCTCGAAGATTTCTTTTGGTAACTGGCTATGTAATTCTAAAAACAAAAAATGCAGTGGTTTTGTTTTGTTTTGTTTTTAGCAAAGCTAGGCTTCATCTGGGCTCTAGAGCTCTGATATAAACCCTAAAGCTGTTGTGGGATTTAAAGGAGCAAAGCAGAATTCTCTAATTTTATAGTTTGAGTTATTATCTTAATGTTACAGTCATATACTCCCTCATTCCTGTGCATTGTCGATTGGGAATTTAGAGGGTTTTCTTTTAAAATCACGTCTGACTATGACTCTAACACTTATTATGCTGATAATATTGTTTCTTTCTTGGACATGAGTAGAAGGGCAAAGTAAAGTGCTTTATTAAAATCAGAAACCTAGGGGCTCCTGGGTGGCTCAGTCGTTAAGCGTCTGCCTTTCGGCTCGGGTCATGATCCCAGGGTCCTGGGATCGAGCCCCACATCAGGCTCCCTGCTCCACTGGAAGCCTGCTTCTCCCTCTTACACTCCCCCTGCTTGTGTTCCTGCTCTTGCTATCTCTCTTTCTCTCTCTCTGTCAAATAAATAAATAAAATCTTTAAAAATAATAATAATAAATCAAATCAAATTAGAAATCTTAGGAAAATAACATATTTTACTTTATAGCCTACTATATTACAGTATTTCCAAGGAGGTTTTAATCAAAGTATCAAAAAATTCTGAGATGGAAACACATGAACAGTTTGTGGGGAAGGGCAGAAGCCCAGATTTTAGAATATGTTAGAGTGATAACAGAAGAGGTTTTAAGTTTGGTGAAACTTTTTTTTTTTTTTTTAAGATTTTATTTTTAGGTAATCTCTACACCCAACGTGGGGCCCAAACCCGCAACCCTGAGATAAAGAGTCACATGCTCTATCAACTGAGCCAGTCAGGTGCTTCGGGTTTGGTGAAACTTTTAAAAGACTCATCTGTTGCCTTGTGTTCTAGACCAGAGCAGTTTTTTCAAGGAGTAGGTTCATAATTCCTTTCTTTTCCAGATTGCCAAGGTTGAGAAGCTCAAACCTTTAGAGGTGGAGCTCCGACGCTTAGAAGACCTTTCAGAATCCATCGTAAATGATTTTGCCTACATGAAGAAGCGAGAGGAGGAGATGCGAGATACCAATGGTGAGGGGAAGGCAGCTTTTGTTTCTTCATAAAGGAGACAGAGCTCTTTTCTCAGTTTTGCCAAATGGGGATAGTGGAATGGGATGATGGGATGATCACTTCAGTGTTGTTGTTTCTCCAGGTAAATGAGCTTTGTTAGATGTTCAAGGGAATAGAAATTTCTGTGATAGGCAGTTGACTATATTCTCAGTTTATTGTGTATCAAACTGATAGTACTAATCTTTGTAATTTTTAACATTTATATATAGAACAGTGAACTTTTAAGAAAAAACAATCCAAAATCCTACTGTCAGGCCTAGAGACTGAGTGAAGTTTATTAATTGCCTTTTCCCCCTGGCCACTGTATAGCCTGCTGAGCCTCATTTCATTGTCTTATAACACTTTTGTTTTTTTAGAGTCAACAAACACTCGGGTCCTGTACTTCAGCATCTTTTCAATGTTCTGCCTCATTGGACTAGCCACCTGGCAGGTCTTCTACCTGCGTCGCTTCTTCAAGGCCAAGAAGTTGATTGAGTAATAAGGCCCAGTCTCCTCCCACCTTGTATCTCAGCCAGCTGAACATCACTGGGACATGTCTGACCTAAGGCATCCTACTAACAGCACCATCAAGGCACATTGAAGCTTTCTTGCCAGAACTGATCTCTTTTGGTGTGGGAGGACAGGGGTTACCACCTACACCCAACAAGTCAATGAGGGACTTCTTTTTAACTTGGTAGCATTTGGACTGGTTTTGCAACAATAGGACTATTATTAGAGTCACCTATGACAAAAAATAGGGGTTACCTAGATAATGCCAAAGTCAGCATTTGTACTGGGTTTCCTCTTGTGATCTGTTTGAACCATGTTTTCTTTCCTTTTCCTACTAGCTCACCAGCTTGGGCTTCCACTTTAGTTCCTTTACCAAGGTTTGTATGACCATGTTGAACTTGTTTCATTCTGATTGTCCTCTTTGGATTTCTTTGTGAAAACACACTTCACTTTCTCTTGACCCTTAGCTGAAATGTTTAGGTAGCTTCTGGTAATATCCTTTCATAAATTTATGTCTCTTCAAAGGGTGATAGATGGGACACCTCATAGAAATGAGCATTGAACTGTATATAACTCTTAAAGAGGACTTCATTTTATAGAATTAAAATATTTGTGCTCAGCTGCCTGAACCTCTTTTGTGTATTTATGTGTGTTTAGTTCTATGCAGTTTTATCCAGTGTAGATTTGTGTGATCACGACCGCAAGATGCAGAACAGTCTCAATTCTCGTATCCCTGTACTACTACCTTTTTATAACCACAGCCACCTCCCTTCTTTTCCCCAAAGTCCCAATTTCTGGCAACCACTAATCTGTTCTCCATCTCTACTTTTGTCATTTCAAGAATGTTTTATAAATGGAATCATATAGTATGTAACCTTTTTTGAGATTGGCTTTCAAAACTCAGCATAATTCCCTCGAAATCCATCCGTGTTGTTACATGTTATCAATGGCTTGCTTCTTTTTATTGCTCAGTAGTATTTCATGGTATGGATGTATCACAGTTTGTTTAACCATTCCCCATTGAGGGACATTGGCGTCATTGTCAGTTTTTGGCCATTTCTGCTAAAGCTGTTGTGAACATTGATGTACAGGTTTTTATGTGAACATAAATTCTCATTTCTCTGGGATAAATGCCCAAGAGGGCAACTGCTGGGTTGTATGGTAAGCACGTGTTTATTTTTCTAAGAAACTGTCCTACTCTTTTCCCGGAGTGACTGCCATTTTACCTTCCCACCAGCAACGTGTGACCAATCCAATTTCTCGGAATCCTCACCAGTATCTGCTATTGTTTTTATTTTTTATTTTAGTCATTCTCATAGGTGTGTCTAGTAATGCCTCATTATGGTTTTAATTTGCTTTTTCCTAATGGCAAATGATGCTGAACATCTTTTCATGTGCTTATTTATCATCTATATATCTTCCTCAATGAAGTATCTATTCCTCTCCTTTTTGCCCACTTTCTAATTAGCTTGTTTTTTCTACTAAGTTTCGAGAGTTCCTTATATATCCTAGATGCAAGTCCTTTGTCAGATATGTGGTTGCTTGAATTTTTAATATAACTTCTAGCAAGGAAAATACAGGTAAAATTTACCAACTCTTCTTATGTGGCCAGTCACCGACTTAATTTCTGTCCTTTATGTGTTCCATCTAGCAAATTAAGACATGGGGTATTAAAAAAAACACATCTGGGAGGATTATGAATAGAGTAAATACTTGAAAATGAATGTTGCAAAAGCAAAGCCAAGAACTGCTGTGGGAATATAAGGTGCCTAAAGGCCATTAAGTAAGCAAAGGTATGGATACAAATGACCATGTTTGTGAACAGGAAAAATACTGTCACTTGAAAATTACTCCATTTCGCCCAGGAAAGTGGATAGGAGTCTGTCCTTTCTGTAATCTCTTTTAACCCCTGCTGACTGTTACAGGGCTTTGTCTAAGTGCAGTGGCAAGAATTACAGGACTTAGGGCATATAGCTTGCAGTTAAGAAGCAGATGTATTAGAATTAACAGAGAACACTGCTGTGATGACCAGGGTAAGGTACAAAAGTAGAAGAGGGAGTGAGTTATGTTGTTAAAATCTCAGGCTGTTCTGTTAATGTTCCAGCTACTCTGAAC